TTTTACTATGAGCTAACTCTTTCCATCTCTCTTATGACTTTTAATTAATCAAAGAATTAATCTTGTGATTTTAATCCTATGATGCTAATTAATAATTCTGTGATTCTAATCAAGAAAATTGATTTTGATTTTACATGTTTTACTTTATGTGACTTTATTATAAATATATTGCTTTGGTATAAAATTTTATTTTATGTGATAACTTATAAATATAATAAAATTATTCTATGTAACTTTCTCTAGCTATCCTAATACAATTTTTTCTCTTTACTTCAAGTTTTTCAAAGTCCTTTTTTTATAAAAATCTAAATAATACCTATCAAAGATATTGTAATATATATATGTATATATATTTAGTTCATTCTGATATACCAATACTTTAAAATAAAAAAAATCTTATAAAAAAATATAATCTAGCATGAAATAAAATTAAAAAAAAGAATATAGAATTTATCAATACTAAAATTAAGATACTTTTTGATTCTACTTCCTCAATAATCTGATCTCATTGAAAATATATGAATAGATAATTATCTCAAATATCTAATTCTACTATTATATCCTCAGTAAATCAGCAATATATCTTGAGAAAGTCACCTTTTAGTATACTAAAAATTATATTAAATGCTATTGATCAAATATTAGTAACAAATATTATAACTAATACTAAAGAAAAATGAGAGTAATATATCAAAATAATGATTATAATTGATAATATTAATCTATAACGTATCTTATTAATGAAATTAAACAAACTTGATCATAAGATTGCTAAATAAAAAAAGAGGTTAGAATAACTTAGATGTCATGTTACTATATAAGCCAAATCTTAGGCCAAAAAAGTGAGACTTTTGAAAGAAGGAATTACTAAAATATATGACAAACCAGGATAATTATCAACTGTAACTATTTATCCTAACTTGTAGAAAAATATTCATGACTACGTAGAGTTTGATACTGTATTTGCAAAGTGAAGAAAAAGTATAATTAAAGTAAGAATAGTAAAGCATTTAAAAGAAGAACTTGAAAAAAAATATCAAATCTATCTTGCAAGATAAATATTTTTTATATATCTGCTATTATAATATTGAAATTCATTTGCTGTCAAATGACATCATTATTCAGCTCAAATTGAAATCAGTTTGATTGCACAGACTGAGATGAAAGTATATATTAATAAATATTATTATCTAGTATCAGTCAAATTGGCAAAAATCTTTACTATAAGCTTTTTCAAAGACTTAATTATCATTTCTCAAGATGATAAAGTGAAAATTGAACTGGATATATTTATAGTAAGAAGAATATTCAAGACTATACAATCAATCAATGAGTTAGTAATAATTATAAATCATAATTTTCCTATAGATGCGAAGCAAAAACTCATTCTATCTGTATACTTACTTATAAATCCATCAGAAAGTAACATACTCCATATTGGTTATATGAGTATTTTTATTCATCTAGAGTACTTTATAGAAATAATACCAATAACTCACATGATAAATCTTATAAAAGTTATACATGATAAATAATTTGAAGAGACTATAAAATATAAAGAAAACATAAAGTTAATCTGGATTTTATTAGTAAATAGAGAGTCTGATAAAAATTCAAAACATCTCAAAAATATCCTTGAGTATTTCAAGCTTTTTTAACAAGAAAATCTAGATTATTTAACTATACAAACTCATATTTCTGGCCAATCTGCTTATAATCTAGTTAAAAGAAGTATGATGATATTCTTTGAGAAGCTTGTCAGAATCACGTTTTCTATTAACTATTTTAGTTCATATCTAAATAGTCAGAGAAATATAATTAATAATAATCTGACATATAAAAATTTTCAGTATGCAGGAAAAAGACTATGTGATATATAAAAGAGAGATTTGATTATAGAAAAGAAGTAATTTATGAATATATTGATAAACATATTAATTCATTTGAAGAAAATAATTTTGAGCCTATCTGAAGTTAGATTAAAAAATACATGTAATTATCTTAATATATCTTGGATTTTCAAAAATGTAATAACTGAACTTATTATTGAATACTCAGAGCACTTGATATAATAACTCTATTAGAAGAAAATAATGAATTTCTTCCTCCCATTATTAAAGGAAAAGATAATTATTATCTAAATCCAATATATATACTTAAGTATGCAGATCAAATAAAAATTCTGTTATATGACAAATATTATCCTTCTATTGCTGATAAGCTTCATGCTCATTTATGTTATACAATATGTAACAAATATTTTTCTACTTTTAATTTTATGACAAAGTATTAAAAAAAATAAGTACAAGAGCAAAAAAGAATGGTCATGAAAAATAAAACTATCTCAGCAACTGGAAAAGGTTTCTTGTAGTAGATCTAGTAACTTGGTTATTCTAGATATCTTATCATATACACAGATATCACTTTGGAAAGAATATGAGATAGATTTTTGAGTAACCTAATCCTTTTGTAAAATTGATAGAAATATAAATAGTATATTATATTGATAAATTCTTGAAGAAGATCTTATAAATACTATTAAAGAATATAAATTAACTATCAATGAGATCATTTTTCATTAGGATAATAATTTCAAATATACAACTAATTTAATGAAAGAGTAATTTGATAATAATAATATTACTATTTTAGATTGACTAGCACAATCATCTGATCTAAATTTAATTAAATATTTATGAAATGAAGTAGATCATTATCTTTAGTATCTTTTTGGATTAATTTCAGATATGGAAGACTTATAGAAAAAAATATAATTAGTTTGAAAGGAAATTAATGTGAATTATTATACAAATTTAATTTGTTCTATATCAGAAAGAATTTATGATGTAATAAAAACACATAGTGATTATACTAGATGATAGTATATTAAGTATAGTTAAAAAATAAAAAAATATAATATTTTTATTTTATATTAAGGATTATATAAATTTATATTAAAAATAAACAAATATAATGCAATACTAAAAATTAAATAAATATTGTAATTGTGATATAATTAGTTTAATTATTCATATTGAATTTATCATATTTAAGTTATTTGTATATATGTAATTAAATCTATCAACTATAATTTGATATTCTTAAGTCTGTATAAAGATATCATGATTTAATAATTTTTAATTTTGTGTTGTATTACTTTTGATCACCACTGTAGTAAAATAATTATTTTAAATTAAAAATCAAAGAAAATTTATTTACAAATTCTATATAATTTATAAAATTATAATAAAATAATAAATTTTTATAATATTTGTGAAATTAATAAAAAGCAATTCTTGAATATTTCAAACATCTTATAATTTAATATATTATCAATAATTCTTTCTATACTATATAAAAATCTAATTATATTAGAATACTTTATTAATTAGTAAAGTATTCTAGTTTATTTGAAAGTTATCAGAATGATTTAAAAGTATTATTGAATTATATACAAAATTAAAAGATATTTAAAGTATTTAAAACATAACTGAATTATTCAAAATATATAATATTTGTATATTTTCTAAATATTACTCAAATAAATCAATTTTTTATTTTACTAATAATAAGTAAATATGACTTAAATTCAGAATATAATAAGTCTGATTTCAAATTTATTTATGATAAAACTTTTTAAATATAATGAATTTATTAATAAAGTTTACTAATAGATTCAGATTATTCATTATATTAAGAGTTCTAAATATTAGATTTTAAAGATAGTTCAAAAATTTCGTGATATTAGAATTCTTTAATATAATAAGATCCCTCTACTATATTTCTAAAGAGATTATATTTAAGATTGATGGAGAAATATTGTTTAATAGCCTTCTTCTCAAAACTTTAATGAATAATACAAGCAAGAGACGATCAATTATTTTGAACTTTATTCTAACTTGGCTTGATTAAAACTTAAGAAGCAAGTCTATATATAATTAATAACTGTCACATGTTTTGGAACATTGAATGAAAGGCTATACTAAAAATTATTCTGTTTTTATGATTCAATACTATATATGTCTCAAACATTATACTATTGATCGAATGATCTATCTATTATTACTAAAAAAAATTAATCAATTCATTAAAAAGTTCTACTTGTAGTTAAAATAAAAAATAATTATGTTAGGAAATGTTACCAAATTCAAAAGTACCAATTGTTCTAATTTGGACGTTTGTAGTTTTGGAATACTCTATATTTATTTTGGTTCTATTAAATATTCTATTCTTTTCTTAATTTTTTTGCAAGGTCTTCGTCCAAGGTGTCCAATTCGATCTTATGCATGTCATTTCGGAAAATCACGGTTTTTGGGACGCAATTAGAGAAAAATTAAATGTTAATGGTAACAATATAACAGTAGGGAATACAAATTGTAAAGATTTATATTCTACCAGAATTTCGTAATAATGCAACATTGATTAGTTGATCAATACATACCGATACGACACGATTTAAATAATTATTTTACATTGAATAACCCAAACTATTTCTATTCTACTTTAAATAATAACTATTTTTATTTTACATTAAATAGTATACGATTAGACTTAATACAGAAATTAAACTCCAATAAACTTTTAGCACTTCATTGCTACCATTTGTTGATTTTTGTGAACATTGAGTGTAATTTCCATCAAACGGTTTAATAAATTTATCCAATAAGCTTTGAATAGCAGGAATTGATGATGGATTCATTTTGAAGTAACCGATCCAAGGCTTTTCCAATGCTAAGAAGCAGTCACTACAAGTAATGCTTTTTGGCAATACTACTGTTTGTGAACCGTATGTAACTGTTGCGTTAGGTGGAAACATTTGTAAATCAATGTCTTGTTTAATCTTTAAATAACTCATTAAATAGTCTTCAATGTTGGAACGAACAGTAAGGTAACAGTAAGCTATATTTAAAATAAAGAATTCAATTATTGATAGTTATATAAATAAGAATTAGCGTATATAAAAACACTTACATCCATTAGAAGCCTGGCTGCACAGAGATTGCATAGTGGGGATTGCTGAGTATACCTCAAACCAAAGAGTCGATGTTTTAATATCACTATTTGTCGCCAATTCTTGTTGACAATCTCTTTGAATGTTTTCGTTCAAAGAATTTATTGCAGTTTGATTGCAAGTTAAAGCACATGTACTCATCAATAAAGCAGAAACGGATGCATCTGTGTAATTAAGATATGCAACTGTACTATTGAAAGCTGATGGCTTAAAACAATTTGAAACGCTTTCATCGAAACGTCCGTATGCTGTTTTTTGACATGTACTGCAGCTATTAACACCGAAGTATGTTGCGCAAGTGATATTACTGTTGGTAAAAGTCCGGCTAACAGCAGAATTCAAGTAAAGACAAAAGATTAGCGTAAATAAAAGCTTTTGATTTGTTGAAGGCATATTAATTTATCAAAAAAAAATAAATTATTAAACACAAAAAAATTCATGAAGTTCTCTAGGTATATTTATAGCTAAGGTTTTTCAAGATACAAACAAGAGTTTACACATTTATGCGATCTCGGTAAACACGATTCATTTCCGTGCCATATTATGTGTGTGACCTAAATTTCTCATTTTCTTTCTTAACCTATTAATAGGAATTCATTTTGTCGTTTATAAATGGTTATTTCATAGTTGAAAATATTATCATTATTTCTATATTTATGCTCAAATGCGTATGTACAGTGATAATCAGGGCGTTTAATACATGTACATGTATTCTAAAACATGATGGATCTTTTAAATTTGAATTTTTAAATTTTTTTAATTATGCAGTAAAAATTTAATCTTGACAAAATTGATCTTTATTTTGTTAATTCTTGAGGTAGTGCTCATCATGCGATTGATAATATATTTTAATTTAGATATACATGTAATGCGTAACTTTTATTTTGCAAATTAACCACTGTATACGTGTACTCATTTTATTATTCATTAGAATATTTTGAGTTTATACACCTGAATTTAAATGACTAATTTATTGCAATGCTTTAGAAAATAAAGAATATAATTCCAGGTCGTCATTATTTTGTTCATGAATAATTTTCATTACATAATGAAAAGAAAAAATTTACCTCAGCACCACTTGAAACACTTCATGATCTACAATATGAACATAACTATTGACAGAATTTGTTCATAGGAACTTTTCTGTTTTGCAATAATGAAAATTCAGATAAATCGTCAACTTCAAAAGTAAGCCATGACCATCCTCGATTGTTGTATTTGTTTGAAAATTTAGCTTGAATGTCTTCAGAATAAATTTCAAATAAAAAGTTATTTGTATTTTGGTAGTCCTTTTAATTGAATTCCTTGAAATAATAATATCTTAATTTCTTCTCCAAATTATAACAAGTTATCATCATACAGATAATGAAAGTCAGTATTCTTAAACGACTACTTCGTGTTAGTTCAATTTAGTTGTTTTTCTTATCTTCATATTGTTCTTTAATCCATAGGTTAACTTAAAGAACTGAGTTTGCGAAAGGATGGATGTCCTTCACTTCTAGGACCAAATACAAACACAAGTGGATCAAATATGGAAGAAACGAATCAATATTAAATAATTTTTAAGCGTAGATTTACGTTGATTGATTACGTAAATTCATTGTTTTTTCCGCTAGAATCGTTAGATCAATTTCGCTTGTATATTGCGTTTGAAAGATTTCTCATTCAAGTACATTCGCACTTATCTATAAGAATACGTCATATAATAACAAATTATTTATAAGAACAACTTTTCAAAACAAAATTTATTCAGGATTGTCCCTTGGACAATTTTGGACAAAATTTATTAGCAATTTAATTATGTAGATATTTGGACAACATTATTGGACTAGTCCAGGGACCAACCTTGAATTTATTATTAAGTATTTTAAAATTTTCTCACTCTAAGAGCATAATTATAAATTTTACTAAGTATTTTGTGTTCCGACCACGTTCTTATAGAGAGATGCAACTGTATTTTCTCTAAGTCATATTTAAGTAAACAAATTAAAGCTGATATATAAAGTTTGGTAAACTCCAATTGACTGGAAGTTAGTAACAGGATTTTAACATGTGCAAAATTGTTAAGTTTGATAAAAGAGTATGTGCGAATGCAATTTGATAGATTAAAAAAAGCTTTCTACAAAATTTTAGATTAATGTTCAAGAAGATAAATTTGGATTATTCAATAAGATCTTTAAGAATTAACTTATCGGCCCGCGACTAATATAATGATTTTGTAAATTGATTTTCGACTATGAGCATTGATAGCTTTTGGACTAAATAATGTCGCATTTTTAATAATAAATTAATTCATAAACTTGTAATCATTTTGCTCGTTCTCGATTTACCAATGCATTTACACAATGCACAAACAATATTACCGATGAGCTGAAAAAATATGTCGAGTATTCTGGCTTTTTCCTCAGCGTTTTTGAGTCTGTCTAAATGTGAATTCAATATTAGATCGTACATTTTTAATTTTTTGATGTTTTCCCTCTGAAATTTGTTAGGTCGTGGAAGAAATGAATACATATATTAGAATATTCAACGAATTGCATTGTGGTGCTAAATATATTTAGTTCGAATAAGGTCAGGAATATATGTATTATCTGCAAATCATATTGTAATACGGGATATATTCTGAACAGATATACTTTTGAAATTTTTATTCATTAATACATTTTAATTACTGATATCTGGTTTAGGACAAGCTGTCTAAAAAACGTAATAAAATTTTGATTGCAGAAATTTTTTTCTGTATTAAGAATTACGTTACGTCATTAATGAATTTAGGTCGCTCTCAACAGCTCATCTCCCCAAGCAAATTAGGCAATCGTGTATACAAAAAAAGAAATCTGTGTAAGGGGAGATGGAATTAGTGAAGGAGAGATGTAGCATTCTTCCCTATTGAAGGGAGATACCAAATTTGGCTGATCTACATTAATAATACCAATTTAAGGCATTTTCATATGCCATTAATATTAAATCTCATGATAATAATAATATAGTAATAATAAAGTCCTTGTTAT